CATGACATTCCTGGAGTTCCCAAGCTGAAATTTTGAGAATTTTCAGGGGAAATGTTAGGAGTTTCCCCATTTTTTGGCCAGTTTAAAGGGGTGGAAATGGTTTGGGAACTCTGGGAGTTGGGTGAATTTTGGGGAATTTGTGTCTCACCGGGGCGGGGTCGGGCTCGGGGCAGGAATTGTCCATGAGGATGAGGCGTTTGAGGTCGTCCTCGATGGAGGATTTGGGGAGGCGCCGGGGGGAGCGCAGATCCCGGAGCGAAGCTCGGAGCCGCGGCTGCCCGAACACGTTCACCTGGCTGGGAGGGAGGAAATTCCATCAATTCCTCAGAAATCCCATAAAATGCCTGGAAAAAAACTGAAAATCCCACAGAAATTCCACAAAATACCACTAAAATCCCATGAGAAACACATAAATCTTTCCAATCCCATAAAAATCCAAGGAAAAAAACTAAATCCCAAAAAACTCCCTGAAAAACTCCCTGAAAAACCCCACAAAAGCCCCGCTCAAACCCCATGGGAAGCACGAAACATTCCCTAAAAACCTCACAAATTCCCTTTTTGGGATCCTCTTCCTATTTCTGGGGTCCCTTTTTTCAGATTTCTCCCATTTCTGGGATCCCAAATCCCATTTTCCCGACTCCAATCCCATTTTTCTGGGATTTCCCCTCACTTTTTGGCATCTGGAAGCTCCTCTGGCCTCTTCCACGCTGCTGCTGCCGCCGTTCCTTTGGCCCTTCCCGGATTTTTGGAAAAGAAGGATTTGGGCACTGATGCTGAAATTTGGGAAGTGGGGAGAGGCCTGGAACTGCCAAAAAACGGGAATAACCACCAGAAATCAAAAAAAATCCAGGAATTTTAACAGGAATGGGGAATTATAAGGCCAACCTGGGCGTTGTGACTGATTCAGGAATCACAGAATTCCCGTTTTTTTGCTGGAAGTTTTTCCCGGGAGGCGGTGCCGGCTCTTGAGAGGCAGATTTGGGGATTTTAGGGATGTTTTTTTGGGATTTCTGGCCAGATTTGGGATGGGAATCGATGCCGCTGTCGCTGGAGCCGCCCCTGGCGCCGGGATCAGGGTCGGGGTCAGATCCTGCGGGATCAGGGCCCTCGCTGGAGGCCGTGCTGGATAAGGTGGAGTGGCTGGAATAGGGTGGCTCATTCTGTGGGATTTTCCAGAAATTTTGTCATTCCAAAAGGTTTGGGATCCCAAAAAGCCCACAAAATTCCCATTTTTCCCCAATTTCCCCTATTTCTCCCATTTTTTCCCTTTTCCCCACTTTCATTTAGGGATTTCACCTTGCAATGGCGGTTGGGGGAATCCTTCCCAGCGGGATCAGGGCGGGCCAGGCGCTTCCCAGGAATTCGGGATGGGGCTGGGACATGCCACAGAGGCTCTGAAAGGACCCCAGCAGGGTCAAGGATTTGGGAATGGGGCAAGGAAGGGGGTCGGGGATTTGGGAACGGGACTGGGAATGGGGTCAGAGATGAGGGAATGGGACTGGCAAGGGCATTTGGGATCAGGATAACAACATTCTCAACCCTCTTCCCACCCCAAAATCCCCAATTTCCCGTACCCGCCTTGTGCCTCTCGGTGCTCCCTTCATGTCCGACCCCTGCGGACTCGGAGTGGCCGGAGTGGCTGGAATGCGGCTCTGCCTGGATCACCGCCCCCCTCGGCAGCCTGGCCCAGAAAAAACAGGAATTCGGGGGGGGGGGGTCCAACATCCAGAAAAACCCAGTTTCCTAATTTTTCACAATTTTTCCAAGTTTTTCCCTCTTTTCCCCCATTTTCCCACCTGTCTGGGGGGGGTTTGGAGCGGCTCAGGGGGTTCCCAGCGCTTCCGGGTGCAGAGAAGCTTCCAGAAGGCTGGCGGAACGGGGAGGAGCAGTTGGGATGAGGCGATTCCGGGAAGCTCAGAGGCCTGGAATTGGGTAAAAAGTGGGAAAAATGGGAAAAACATGAGAGAAATGGGATAATTGATTGGGAATACACTTGGATTCCATGGATTTGAAGTGTCCAGTGTGATTCAGGGGTTTTTGGAATGAAGATTTCTGGGATGGGCCCAACCAGGAGGGAGCCCAGTGGGGGATCCCAGGAATTTTGGGAATTTCACAATCCCATTCTTCACCTTTTCCCATGAATCATGATGGGCACTCCTGGGAATGTGGGAGAATTCCAGGGATTTTGGGAAGTTCCTCACCTTTTCCCGTGGATGGGCTGTGGCTCTCGATGGGGAATCCCAGGAATTCCCAGGGGCCGTTTGGGCACAGTGGGGACACTCCGGTGCCACCCGGCCCCGCTGCGGAACGGAGCCCGGAACCCGCCCGGGAAYGGCTCCGGGAACGGCTCCGGATCCGCCTTGGGCTCCGTGCCCGGCTCCAGGGATTCCGACCAACCCCTGTAGAGGACATGACAGGACACAGCTGGCACCGGGGTGACATCATCGGGACAAGGATGGCGCCAGTGGCACCAATGGTATCACCATCCCCAGTGCCACACCCACCTCCTGGGCGTGCCGTCGTCGTGGGGCGGCACGATGCCCACGGTGACGGTGACCGAGGTGCGCAGCAGGTCGATCATCTGCTCGTGGCTCAGGGCCACGGCGGCCACCTTGCACACCTCCAGCAGGCGGCTACCGCGCCGCAGCCCCGCTTGCCAGGCGAATCCGTACTCCTCCACCTCGGCCACGCTGCCGTCGGGGTGCACGTGGAACCCCAACTGACCCA